TTCAGTGTCATGACTATTACAGATTTTAATTTTAAGAGAATATGCTTATTAACAAAATAATAATTCTACTTGTCTTTTATGCTTTGTTGATATACTTAGTTTGGGCATTCTAAATTGGGCTTAATGTTAATTCCTAATTGTAATTATGATTACAAGGAAGATATATATAATGTTGATGGCTCTATTAAAAATATATGTGTAAATGGGGTGCCTGGGTGGCTCAGGCAGTTAGGCATCCAATTCTTGATTTTAACTCAGGTCATGATCTTAGGGTGATGAGATCAAGCCCTGCCATCGGACTCCTCGCTCAGCCTGGAGTTTGCTGGAGATTCTCTCCCTCTTCCTCTGCCTCTCCCCCCACTGTGCATGTGCACACTAGCGCACATACTGTCTCTCAAATACATAAATCTTTTATTATTATTATTTTTTTAAGATTTTGTTTATTTGACAGAGAGAGACACAGCCAGAGAGGGAACACAAGCAGGGGGAGTGGGAGGGAGAAGCAGACTCACCGCTGAGCAGGGAGCCCAATGCGGGGCTCGATCCCAGGACACTGAGATCATGACCTGAGCCGAAGGCAGATGCCTAACGACTGAGCCACCCAGGCACTCCCATAAATTTTTTTTTAAAAAGTAAAAAGACATAAAAATAATTTAAATATATGTGTAAAATGTGACCCATACTGTATTTCTTCTAAAGACTCTTCAGCATCTACCTTCAAGGGTTCTTAACATGGGATCCACAGACTCTCCCAAAGGAGTTGTAGATCACATTCAGGAAGGCTGTTTATACACTTTGGATGGGGCAGGGAATACATCCTTATTTTTACTAACCTCCAATTGAAAACATTTCCTTTTATTATAGAAGTCTAGGTAAAAATCACAGCACTATTAATAGTACTTGTGATTTTACCCCAACAGAAATAAGATATCTTTGCTTTGCATTATAATTCCAAGTATCTTGAGATACTGCTTATGTTCAATTTTTTTTCATTGAAATATAGTTGATGCACAGTGTTACATTAGTTTCAGGTATGTAACAGATTTGACAACAATTCATTATGCTCACCACAAGTGCAGCTACCGTCTGTCTTTATACTTCAAAATTATAATAATCTATCCAGCCACCACTATTTATTTAATTCATTAATATAGAAGCACATCTGTCACAAATTTGTAAATATTTTATTTTTAATAAAATGGGTTTTTTTTTGTAATCCTTTACACTTTATGTTAAAACCAGTATTTTAAAACATTATTAATATAGCACAGAAATTACATTTCAATAAAGCTGTTTCTTTAAAAGAATTATTTAGAGAACAGATCCATAGGTTTCACTGGACTGTCAAAGGGGTCCATGGCTCACATAAAGGTTAGAAACCCAAGTTTTAAATAATCTTGTGCGATGTATTCTGAGTTCTCTCCTGTGTCCAAGCCCTTGTTAGCCTTAATTCCCTTCTTTTAGAGTAATTCCACTGGCTTTTGTTGTTATTCCCTAGTGAAATGTTTTATATTTCTAATTCACAAACATTTTCAAGAGAAATATAATGAGGGCTTCATCTAATTTGAGAAGTTGTGCATTAAGTTCTACCCTGGATTAATTATAAGAAAAAATACAAGAAAAGGCTAAACAAAAGTCAAGTTGCTTTGTTTTCATGTTAATCATTAAAACATTTTCCTTCATTCTTCAAGTATTTATTGATGACCTACTGTGTGCCAAACACCATGGTTGTGTGTTTTCAGAATATTCTGACCAGAGACAATTACCACTGTGGCACTTGGTAAAGGTTATAAGATTATTTGTTGACATAAAACTAAATTTACAGATAAAATAATGTATTATTTGCATTTATTTCCCAAATAATTTCAACACTGATTATATTTTCATTTGTAGGGGGCATTTAGTGGGTGGAAAGTTATCTTATATGTTGACCAATCCCGAGAAGCAGGATTCAAACGCCTTCTTCAGTCAGGAGGAGCAAAGGTTTGTATTCAGTCAATTTACAGAATTTTTTACACAAATTATTTTTCAAACAAGGTTGCTATGATCAGTTCTTAATTTTTGGTACTTTGTGAGATGACAATCCTTAAGTACAGATTATACAGTTGAACTACTCTGGGAAACTGATAGCTTCTTATTTCTTATTTTTTCTTTAGGTACTACCTGGTCATTCTGTACCTTTATTTAAAGAAGCCACACATCTCTTTTCTGACTTCAATAAACTGAAACCAGATGACTCAGGGGTTAATATAGCAGAAGCTGCCGCCCAAAATGTGTACTGCTTAAAAACAGAGTACATTGCTGATTATCTGATGCAGGTTTGTAAGATTTTGTCCTTGATCTCCTCATCACCAGAGATAGGCTTATATATATAGGGATGTGACCACACAGCAAAACCCTTGGCTTGTTTGTTAATAGCATGTTTGGCTCCAGTTCGCTTTCATTTCATTCAGTTTCATTCTACTTTTTATAATAATGAGTACATATGTAAACATTTAGCTTGGAGTTAAATGAAGCAGGTATAAAAATCTAAGTACCTCTGGGCGCCTGGGTGGCTCAGATGGTTAAGTGACTGCCTTCGGCTCAGGTCATGATCCTGGAGTCCCGG